GGGGGAAATGTGAGGGGAGAAAGGGGGGAAATTTGAGGGAGAAAAGGGGGGAAATGTGAGGGGAAAATGAGGGAAATGTGAGGGGAGAAAAGGGGGAAAATGTGACGGTGGAAAAGGGAAATGTGAGGGGAGAAAAGATGGCGGAAAGGGGGAAAAGTGGCAGAAAAATTGAGGGGAAAAAGGGCAGGAAACGTGAGGGAAAAAGGCCAGGTTTGGAGGTTTGGGGTCTGGGGGTTCATGGGGGTCACAGGGGGTTCAGGTTGGACTGGAGACCCCAGAGCCCTGGTGAGGATTTGGGGGAAATTTCCCCCCCAAAAAAGGCAGGAAAAGACAAAAAAACAGAGGCAATGTGCCCCTGAATTCCTCAGGTTCCCTTCCCCAAAATAAAGCGCAGACTCTGGAGGTTGTTCAGACATTTTATTTCTGATTTTGCTCACGGGGCCTTGGCCGCCCTCACCCTCTTCTTCCTCACCACCACGGGCTTCTGGCTGCGCAAGATGGCGCTGGCCCGGCGCAGAGCGGCCTGGAGGGGACAAAATCAAAGAGTTTAGCACCCCAAAAATAAAAAATAACCGTGGACATGGGGGGAGCACACCCTAAATTATCCCAGTTTAAGTTTGGGGATGACCCACAGTTTTGAGGGGGTCCCAAAACTCCCTCCCAGGAGTTTTAAGCCCCTCCAAGACATTTTTGAAGTTCTGCAAGTTTTTTGGGGTGTTTAGAACCTCCTCTAATTTTGGGGACCCCTCCTCAGCTTGTGAAGCTCGGGGCGCCTTCCTCTGTTATCACACCCACAAATTTTGAAGTCCTCACAATTTTGGGGTTACCCCAAATTTTTGCATCTTTCTCCAATAAGGCTTTGCACTCCTCCACGGCTTTCGCAGCCCAAACCTCACAACTCCCCGGCGTTTTTGGGGTTTGTGGATTTCGGGGAGCCCCTCCCCGGATTTCGGGGAGCCCCTCACCATGCGCAGGTCCCTCCTGTATCTGTTCTTGCTGATCAGGTGCCTCAGGCTGCGCAGGGAGCCGCGGGCGTCGCGGCGGATCCGCACGCGCACGTACGACGTGGCCGGCTTGCGCTGACCTGAGCGGGACGAAAACGAGATTTTTGGGGGGTTTCTCGGGGAATTTGGGGTTCCCCTAAAGGCCGTGGGGGGGGGGGTGAACCCACCTGAGCGTTTCTTGAGGACCACCACGATCCCCTTCCCGTCCGGCGCCGGCTCCACGCCCACGGTTTTGCGGTGGATCAATCCGTTGTAGCGGAAGGAGTTGCGGGCCTTGAGGTTGTTGGGCTCCTGGGGGGGGTTTGGGAGGGGGTTTTGGGGTGGCTTG